GTAGGTGGAAGAGAGAGAGAAAGAGCATGGCAAATGTCTCTCCCTTTTATCAGGTCCTTTCTTACCTCTTGGCTTTACTCTCCCCCAATTCAGAGTAAGGTGAGCAATATCTCATCGCAGTCCCAAACTTCCCAAAGGAATTGGATGACTCCCTCGAGGGTCTAACAGATTCTTTTCTTGCTGCCAAAGCCAGTGTCCATTGTTCCCATGAGGCTGGGCTGGGTTTGTCCCATCCATGCCCTGATGAGGTGTGAACTGCCTCTCAGTTCTTGGAGAGTTTTTGCCTAGACTTTCTTTAAGCCATGAGGATACATTTTCAGCCTCATAACTATATACATGAAATGATAACCTATAACCTTACTATAACATCACAATAACAACCATGCTCAGTGCATCATGAGCCTTCCAAAGACACCCAACATGACAAACTTTGCATTGGATACCACACAATCATTTTATAAAGATGAACATGGGGGAGTAGGGTGTTCCCCCGAGGTACAGAGCATCACACCAGGGAAGGGGCAGAAAGGGGTATGGCTGTGGGCAGGGCCACAGGCAGAAGGGGAAGATCAGGGGTGGGACCACTGGCAGAAGGGGTGAGAAGGGGCCCCCCACTTGCTTTGGCCCAGGGCCCCAGGAAACCTTAATCCGTCTATGTATAGGAGCTTGCTTCACCTGTATCTTCCCAGTATCTCCCATGGTGTTTTCCAGAAATCTCTTCTTAGGAAAGGATCTCAAATCCTACTGTCCATCTAGACCTACTGCCCTGAAGGCCTTCTATTATTAGTCTCCCCTACCCCTCACAGCTGGGTCTCATCTTTAATTGGGCCTGGCCCACCCCACAAGGACACCCAGGTGTACAAATTGCTTGCTGGCTCCAGTTAACTCCTTTTGTACCAGAGTTGGGTATACCGCCCATCACAATTTGTTATACTTGAATGTGGGATAACCTATATGAGGGTGTGTGTAATATGCAAAAGTCATTGGAGCAAGGGGACTGGACTCTTGGTCTCCCCCTTTCCCAGTGGGTGTCTTAACCGCTGACCACCTGACTCCAGGAGAGGGGTTCCCAGTTCTGGATTGCAAGCAGAGATAGGCACCTCCCTGAAGCCTGGACTTAGGTGCTTATCTCTGTGAAAGTGGTGGGGCTTCACCGCTCTCATTGGCTATCTTAGATGATTCCACAGCTAGCATGTTGGCTCTTGTGGATTGCATTCCATAAGAACGTAAGTGACTATCTCCCTATTCATTGTATAAGGAGTCTAGGTACCAAAATCAGGCTTTGTGGATTGCAGTGTCATTCCTGTAATTTTCTAGGTACCTAAAGGTTAGGTGTTGCAGTGCAATACCTAATTCTCTTTGTGGTTCCGGGCCTCAGTATTCGAATAACTCTGCTCCTTTTGCAATCAATGGTAAAACTCCCATTAACTGCAAGGGGAGCAGAGTTAGGCCAATGCTTGGAAAATTCCACCTCACATTCTCTTTTCCAGGAGCTTTACTCTGCGCAAGGGGCTGAGTATTGGGAAGATAAGGCCTCTAAAATTTCATAACTTTGCACTGGACAACTTTGTTCCTGTATAAATAGTAGCTGTTTCTCTCTCTCTCTCCTCCCCGCTCCCCTCCCCACTTTTTTGAGGATTTTGCCAGATATGTAATAATGAAGCTTTGGAAAGTAAAATATCAACTATACAATGCCTTTGTTGAGAAAGTTCGTACTAGTCTCACAGGACAGGAAAAGTTTGCTATTGGACTGAGTAAGAATTTTTACATGTGGTTAACTGACTGGATGAACTGTAAACTACCTTTACTGGTTATTTTCAGTCTTTTTAATGCTTAACTTTCTGCGTGAAAATGCTGCAGTTCTGCATTTTGTCTAATAGTTATGGATCAAATCTGAAGTCCTTCTTTTGCTGTTACTCAGGCATAGGCAGGCAAAACTCTTATTGATAGTGACTTCATTATTTAGCTCTTTATTAATTACTTAAGCAACCTTAAGTCTAAATTTCTGTGAGAAGGTATCTGTACGTGTGTTTGTAGGGTATATATTGAGATGGACTAAACTTAAACCCTGGATTTGAACACCCCCAAACTGTGGTGAAATTCAATTCTGGACCCAAATTTAGTAGCTGTCCAAATGTGCTATCCAAAATTCTAAGGGCCAGATCCTAAGCTGGTGTAGCCCCATTGACTTCAATAGGCCTATGCCAATTTACCCTAGGTTGGGATCTGTACCCTCCTGAACTTTGGGAAAGTTTGCAACTAGATTTCGATCCAAATTTTGTGGTACAGGCACATCTCTAATATATCAGTAGATAGCTTGTAAGTCAATTTCTAAAATGCTTTGGGGATTTTTCTCAGTGAAATATATACATGACAGTTATCTGACTGGCTTCTGGGAGCTGAACTAAATCAGGCCTAAATTTAGACATTCAGAACCTAGTCTGAATAGTAGGTTATATACTTGTGGCAGGAGTGGAGAGGCTGAAGTAGCCCTCTGTGCCCAAAGTACACCCTACTGCAGTAGTTGGGGCGGGGGCGTGGCAGGCCCAGGCTAGCCCCTATGGGGGATGGGGAGGAAGCGCCACCCTGCCCTGCTCTTCCCCCAGCTCCACTCCAGCCCCATTCCCAGTCTCACCTGCAGCTCAGGCTCTGGTGGCGGCCATGCTCCTAGTCCCCGTGGCAGCTCTGCTCTTGGCTGCAGCCCTGACCTCGGCTCCCGGCTGCAGCTCCAGCCCAGGACTCGGCTCTCGGCTCCTGGCTCTGACTGTGGCCCCTGGCTCCTGACCAAGGCCCCGCTTCTGGTCCCGACCATGGCTCCAGCCCCACCAGGGGTGCCAGAATGGCGGGGGGGCCATGGCCTAATCACGTTTTACCTGCCGTAAGGGCGAGTGATGGTGGGGTGGAGGTGGAGAGGAGTGAGTGGGGGGCAGGTTCTTGGGGAGAAGAGGTGGTGTGGGGCTGGGGGCTTGGTGAGAAGGGGCGGTGCGAGGGCAGGGCCTTGGGGGGAATGGGCGGTGTGAGGGTGGGGCCATGGTTTGTGCACTGGTGCCCCCCCACTCTAAGGGAGCTTCTGCTGATCCTGGGCCTCACTCCTGGCTAGGGCTCCAGACCACAGTTCCGAGGGTGGGGGAGAGGGCACAGATTGGTTTCATTATGGGTAAGGGAGGGCGTGACGGAAAAAGTTTGGGGACCACTGCCCTACTGGGAGGGAGAGGACTGAGGATCAGTGTAGCAGCAGACTCACCATCTCAATATTCCTCATCCCTCAGACTTCTGCTTCCACGCCTGTACTTACTCATTCTGTATTGCCATGGGAGTGACTTTCACTCTGTGCAGGAGGAGAGCACTCTGGGCTTGATCCAAAGCCCAAATAAAGTTAAAGGAAAAAGTCAATCCTCAACTTGTGTAAACTGTTGTAGCTCCACTGAAGTCAATGGAGATATGATAATTTACACCAGCTGAGGAGCTGGTTCCCATTGACTTCACTGAGCTTTGAATCAGATTCCTTATGTGCTGCTCCTCAAACCCATTCCCTCCTTGGCCTAGACTGGTTCTGCTACCAGGTATTGAGGTGTGGGCTGGATTTACTTGTAAGCAGTGTCAGGATGAGCTCCACCCTGACATCTGGTGGTGAGGTGTGGCAAGTTGTGGAAAAGAACTTCAGGGGCTGATCTCATTTGCATAGGCACACCCACCCCGCCTAGAATGAGGCCATAGCTGCCCAAATGGTCACTTTGGCTGCTGTGGGATCCCCAGTCTCTCTGTTATTGGGGCAGGAAGAATAAATTGTTATTACCCTGATTATGGGAACTGTGCTTGGAACTGTACTTGGCCTTTTGTTATGATGGAGGGACTCACCATCAACTAAGTAGCACTCGCTAGGCAAGGGTCATGGGTTTTAAAACTTTGTGACTGGAGACAAGTATTAATACTTGGTGGCATGGGCCCCTTGGTGAGGGCCTTACATGCTAATTGCACTTCCTCCTCTCTCCACTGTGGAATATCAGAGCTAATTTTGATTCCATTAGGAGTCTAGTTACAGGCTGCTGAGCTCACTTTGGGCTAATGGTGCACCAGCACTGAGGCTCCCCTACTGCAAGCTGAATTCACTAAAGAGCTGAACTGACTAAGAGCTGAAATCACTGAGTGTTGTGTTAAGTAGTGGAGGAGCCTGAAGATATATTGTGGAGCAGTTTGTGGGACGGCTGGAGTGCCTTGTGGACAGGCTGGTGGAGCAGTTCGTAGGACGGTGGGAGCTGCTTGTGGGACGCAGAGCAGTTTGTGGACCGGCTGGTGGAGCAGTTCATGGGACGGCAGGAGCTGCTTGTGGGCCGCAGAGCTGAGCGAAGCGAAGGCCTATGGAGTGGTCAGCTTCAGATCATATAAGGTGCCTCTTACCCCTGTCCCATCTCCACCCAGGTTGGGAGGTAAAGCTCCGCAAATAAACTTTCGAACTCTGGGGCTGCTCTGACCAGGGACAGAGACTTTTGGGTCATTGGACTTTTGGGACTTTGGGTGATTTGGGGTTGCTGGACTCAAGAACCAAAGGGAAAGGGGCATGCCCCAATTTGCTTGGGCTGGGTTTTTTTTGCTCATGGGTTGTGTTATGAATCCTGTTGGTGGTGTTTCCCCAACATAATGCCACATTGTTTCTCTCTGTTATGAAAAGGCTTTTTGCTACACTCAGACTATTTGCATGCGAAAGGGGAAGTATTGCCTCTTGGAGGCGCCCAGCGGGGGTGGTATATATTTGTCCCAGGTCACTGGGTGGGGGCTCGAGCCGGTTTGCATTGTGTTATTGGAATGGATCCCCTAGATATTGAACCCGGCCCTTGTTGCTGCCAACTCTGACGGGCAGAAGGGTTACATACTCCTCAGTGGAACACTTGCACATATTCATCAACCACTTAAATACTGACTTAAGCAATACCCACAGTCAAAGGTATAGCGCAAAGCACACACATTAACGACATTCAAAAACAACATTGTGGATTTCAAAATCCCAAATTCCCTTTTTTATTAAATACCATGTTTCTGAATGAGCAAGGAAAACTTCAGGCAAATCCACATAAGATGTAACAAATATTAATTTGCACAGTACATGATTTCCAGAGAGCTGGAAGTCAACTCATGAGAAATATAAATAACCCCTAAACAAACAAAATACCAAAAAAGCTCCAGTAAGCTCGAGAATTGCTTAAGCCCAGATCCTCAGAAGTATTTAGATACTGAACTTCCATTGATTTCACTGGGTGTTCAGTACCTATATACCTTTCAGGATCTGGGCCTTGATGTTTAGCATTCGTAAACAATTCACTAATGCATAAATATGTCCAGGTTTTCTTATGCATGTGGCATTTGGCAACTACCATATATACTCAATCATAAGCTGGTTCATTTATAAGACGACCCCCTCAAGATGGATAAGTAAAAATGGAAAAATTTTATGACCCATTCATAAGCTGACCCTATAATTCAGGCTTCGGCAAACTTTGGCTCCCGAGCCGTCAGGATAAGCCACTGGTGGGCAGAAATGGTTTGTTTACCTTGAGCGTCCGCAGGCACGGAAGTAAACCTAAGTAAACAAAGTGTCCCAGCCCGCCAGCTGCTTACCCTGGTGGGCCGGGACAGCAACTGGTGGGGAAATTTTTTTGGGGGGAGAAGCTGGGGGGTCAGGGTAGTAACCCCTGTGACCACCCCCCACATGACCCCACCCGTAGCCCGGGACCCCCACACTCTCCCCATCCCATCCCTTCCCACCTTAGCTGGCCTGGCTGGAGCTGCTCCAGCAGGCTGGGCGGCATGGCAGGGCAGCGCGGCCGAAGCATGTTCCCGTGGGCTGAGCCGGGTGGCACGGCCGCAGCGTGCTCCAGCGGGCTGGGTGGTGCGGGCACAGCCTGCTCCAGCAGGCGGGGCAGGGCGGCGCAGCCACAACCTGCCAGCCCCAGAGCTGCAGCTGCTTCAGGGGCTGGGGGGGAGAGCAGCGTGGCCAGAAGCAGAGAGACTCTGGCCCCGCCTCTTCCCTTCTGGCTCTGCTGGCTGTGTTGCCTCTCCTTACTCCCTCTGTTGGGGGGAGGGGCTGTGTCCCACCTCTCCCTCTCTATACCTGTTCATAAACCGACCCCCTTCTCTGATGCTTCCCTTTTTTTACTAAAAAAATTCAGCTTATGAATGAGTATATAAGATATATCAGATTTTTGGATACCTTTTTGGATACGTTGGTGAAAAGATTACGCTAAGCTATTATCAAGTTTAACTTAAACTATTATCAATCAGTGAATATTGATCAGACTCTTCCTTTTACTTTATCCCATAATACAAGAACAAGAGGTCACTGGATGAAATTAACAAATGAGTAAAAGGAAGTACTCCAAACAGCATACAATCAAATTGTAATATTCACGTCTCTAGGAAGCTAAAGAGAAACAATCTGACTGAATTTTTAAAAGTTTTATAATTTTATAAACATTCCAAATACGGTACCAATATTTGCAGCTATAAAAGGGTTATACTATTGCAGAGTAATGTTGCAGGTGTATATTTCAAAGTAATATTTGAAGTTATAAAAATTAAAAATCCTATAAAACCTATGGGTAATTAATTAATCCCATCATGATTCAGGGCAAACATTGATAGCCTGCAAGGGGTCAGGAAGGATTTCCTTTCATGTGGTATTTTGTACAACTGGCTAGATGTACTATAGGTTTGTTTTTTCACCTTACTCTGAAGCATCAGGTATTGGTTGTTGTCCAATAGCTGGAATAGACCTTACTCAGGTGATTAGTCATATTGAAATCCCATAGCTGGATTTTATATGATTATATGATTATATACATATATATATGATTATATGATTACATATATATATGTCTTTAATATGATGCATCCTATGTTACAGACACATCCAGAGTTTTAAAGTAATTTTGAAAGAAAATTATGTATGTAAATTTTACTAACTTAATAAATTTAAAGTCTGATAATCATATTCACACAGTTTAGAAGTGTAACTGTGAAGAATCCTCAGACTGCAGTAACATACTGTTTTTGATATTTCATACTAGTGTACTTTTCTTTGTGGAAAATTTATAATACAACCCTAGCATATGAAATGGCAATTTCCTGCATATGCATTCAGTTGTTTCTCCCATTGATGACAACAGTGATCAGTGTTAAAAAGGAACAAACCACTGGAAAGAAACAAATGCCCCTAATATGGAAAAACCACCAGAAGGGGTAAACCTTTAGACCTAGAAACATATATGACAAGGGGTAAAATTTCAAAATTTCTTAAGTGATTTAGGAGCCTAAGTTCTATTTCCAAACTTCTACATGCCTAAGTCCCTTTTGAAAATGGGACTTAGGCACTTTTGAAATTTTTAACTCAGATCAATTTAAAATGGGCCAGAAATAGTGATGTTCTTTCATTCAGTGCCTTGTAAGCCAAAACAGAAAATACTTGCATCCTTGCTTTGTACCCTAGTCCTATCTTTATTTTCAGATATCTCAGAGGAAGAGGAAGGGGAATGCTTGATTTTTCCTGGAGTAAAAATATTACAGTTATTGTTTATCTAAAAAATGAGTATGTCAGAATATAGCTGTTATAGATATATTTTGCTGTAGATCAAAAGGTTATTTTCATAGCTACCCGAAGGCCTGATCTCCCCTGCCTTGCACCTTGTACAGTCATTTACTCTTGTGCAAAGTTGGTGTAAAATGCTACCATTTGATTTGGTAGCATTTTACACCCACAACATACAAGGTGAATCACTACATAAGGTAAAGGCAGTGGAGAATCAGACCCTAATTGATCAATGTTCTATGTACATTCAATGTGTATAGGAGTATCAGCTTGGTGACCTAATGTTTTTAGGAAAATAGTAAAAATAAAAAAACAGCTGGGAGCATAGGAGGGCGTGTATGTACCAGAAGGTGATAGGGCTTTATAACCATCATGGCATTTTAAAAACAAACCATGCTGGGGTAATTTTGTCTGCAAAGTTCTTTCCAGGCTAAATAATATCTTTCTTCACATCAGCCATTCAAGAATCTTGCTTTGCATCAGCATGTCGGCATATCATACCACAGTGCTCATATCTGGAAAAGTAGGAGAGCAGTTAGAGAGCTCTGCACGAGATGTGAAGAGGCTGGAGGAACAGAAGAGGGAATTGCACAGAAACCCAGATGCTGCCTTCTGAAGCTATGAATAAAGCACTGTTAAGGCTAAAAAAATGTATCTAAAAGGCTCCATGGATGTAGAAATGGAGCATATCATACTTTAATTATTCAAACTCTTAAATCATTTTTATGTCATATGCTATTGGACCATCCATGGAAAATCCCAGATAGAAAGACACTCTTTCTATGCTTTTGCCACTTCTGAGACGGCCTAAGAAAGCAGGTCGCACTGGTATACTGATTTTTTCATCAATTCCATAGTCCACATAGACAAGATCATTTTCGACCTTGCCATGTAGACGAAGCAATAGATTTTGGACAACCTTTTCTTCCCATATGCATCCTTTTTGCCACAGGGAATGCAAGTCATGTACTTGGAGCTCACTGAAAAAGTGATCTATTTTTCCTTTGTGAACAAGCCTATTCAGACCTCTATTATTCCCAAGATAGAAATGAGCAATAGGCTGCTTGGAACGACACATTTGTTTGTATTGCCCTCTAAAAGACTTCTTCAGTGATGTGACATACTTTTCCATTTGCCTGGAATCCTGATCTAATTGTTTTTGATTCTCTGGCCAGAATAATAAAGTGGCTAAGAAGTAAGGTTCTGAAAATCGATGCTCTAGACCTACTTGCTGTAGGATTTTTCTAAGCTGTGCATTCAATTCATGAAGAGCCCATATCTTCCTGGATTTAGGTTTAATACAACTGAGAACAATGTTTGCCAAAATGAAATTCTGTTTCTCCCTCAATAGGGGTGCATGTGTGCATTTTTCAATCAAAAATGTATATTTATTCACTATGTCTTCCATTTTGCTTTCAGCTTTTTCGTGACTATTGAGATACTCCAAAAGCCCAGAGAACCTGTCTGCTTTGGAAGCCTCCAAACTTCTCCTGCACTGATCCTCCTGCCGAGGCAAACTGAGTTTTGAGCTCATTGGATTGTCCCCCGATATCTCAGGATCCAAGTGGCAAAATATTTCTGCATATTTGTTGAAACATTCTCGAACCTTCTTACGTATTTTGAACTCCACACTTTCTTTTTCAATATTTTTTGTTTTCAGAAGGACAAAGTAGTTCTCAAAAAAGTCAAATGCCTCTTTCAAACTTGAGCGCAAATTAGATAAATAACAACAGTAATGGTCAAGTGCAAACTTATATTCTTCACTTTCAGTAGTTGCTGGTGGGATGGGATGCTTTCCTGACAAATATTGTAGCATATCTTCTTGGGACAATGGATTTTTTTTGTTGAAAAGAGGAGTACACCCAAGAATATCTATAGTGTATAGACCAGTTTCTATCTCCCCCAAATAACCAGCTGTATTATAAGTATCATACCTCCTTTTAGACTTTTGGAGCTGCAAAGCTTCTCTTACATTGTCTGTACTTTCATTTTGTTGTTGGGATTCTTTAAAAGCCTCTGAAGCAAACTTAGCAAGCTCTAGCAAACGTTTCAGGTCTTCAGCAGTTATGACCTTCCTTTTTCCATTTTCATCCACCCAATTTTTTATCTGACTTTTAAAGACTTGGCCTAAAGTGTCTGATATATATGAATTGTTAGGGGCTCTCTTTCTGGCTTTTTTGGCCCACTCCAGTGCAGAGGCAAAATTCTTGTCTATAATGTAGTAGTGTCTTGCTAAGGCTTGGCAAATGAATGGGTTTTGGCTAAACTGAAGGGCTCCTTCACGTAGCACGCTTTCAACTTCAGCACTACCTTCTTCCGTCTGAATTTTTTCAATTAATGGGGAAAACAATGTGTCTGTGTCATCTCCATGTTCTTTACGTTGTCTGGTAAGTAGCATACTTTGCACATCATCTAGAAGTTTTCTTTTTCCCATGTCAGAATCATAAAATAAATTCTGTTTTAACAATTGCAGTGTTATTGCACTTTTAGTTAACCTATAGGTTAGGTTAAATTCTTCTAGACAGCAATTAGCGATTAGTGGGTGAATGATACGCACTCCTTTGTATGTTGCATATTCTTGCACCTTACTTTGTATTAGAATATTAGAACAAATTCCCATCTTGTCTTCTAAACTTTCTTTACCCCAATGTTTGTCAACTATTCCTAAGAAATCTTCACATTGCGATACTGAGATAGTGGACTCTGTAACGTAAGAGTTTAATATTGCCAGGAAGGAAATAAGTTGTCCTTGTTTGCTGTTAATGTCCAAACCTTTCAGTGTGTTCTTGACCACATTTTTTATATATTCTGGATTAAATTGTTCTTTCATAATCATAAATGAATAGAAATCTTCAGGGTGTTGATGCTGCTGTTTAATTTCTTCCAGTTTCTTCTCAAAAGCCCGTTGCTCTTTGAAAGAAAGTTCACGTTTTAGATTAATGCTGTCTGATTGACTGCTCTTTGAGCTTTCCACAGGATTCTGAGATCTCATACAATTTATGATGATCACTAGAGGGTTTTCATAGCTAATGCATTTTCTTGCTATAGCTGACTGAATTTCATGCTGCAGAAGGTAGACATTTTCTTGCTCTTCAAAATCATCTACAAGAAGTAATACTGGCAAGTAATCTTCTTGGTTGGTTGCGCCGTAGGTGATTAAAGTTGTCGTCTGTGTTCCGATTTCTGCAAAATCAACAGTTTTATTTTTCAGAACGGCACATCTGAATTTCTTCTTTAACTCCCAGAGAACATGCATAGCTAAGGTTGTTCCACCACAGCCTGGAGAGTGATAAAGATTGATAACTTTTGATGGTTTTTGTGTAGAGGACTGGGATGAAGATTGAATCAACTCTTCAAGTTTTTCATAACTGTCCCTTTTGATAAAGGGGGAAGAATAGTTTTCAGAGGAGAAATAAAAATTCCACCATGAAACTTTGCCACCCCGGTAAAAATGCTCTTCTTGAGATTTTCTGAATTCAGAAAACTGAACTTTATCCTTCTCTATATCTGTGTCTTTGCATTCATTTTCACAAAGTATTTCCAATGCTGTCATGAAGTCTTCTTCCTTCTTTAGAAGAATTGTAGAAGAACCATTACATGGTAAAAGCCTCTGAGAAGACTGTGTCACAGATTTCAATTTAAGGATAGTGCCGTTCACTGTTGGAAGGTTTAAATTAGCAACACATCTCTCAGTAAGTTCTTCTGGACTAATGAATCTGGCTTGCAGAAGATCTTTCCATAGTTGGAATGTTTGTGCACCAATACAAATGCAGAGCATGTCTTTAAGCCCTTCCAGTTCTTGGTAAAATGTGCAGAATGTTTCAATAAGGGGATCCCCTGGATCTTCCACTTCGGAGAGCAAAAGAAACACTACTAGAAACTTTCCTCTTTGCAGTACCTCTGGGTGTGAAAGAAATGAAATCAATTTCCTGACTTCAGCAGCCCTCTTTTGTTGCCACAAACTGGGATCTAAAGGTTGATATTTTTCATCATTAAGGTCTGATCTGCCATTGCAGAAAATCCAGCTGGGCTGGTGATAGAGATTCAGATCTTCAATTATTTCAGAAAATGATTTGCCTTTCATTTGATACTGATTTGGAAAATGAAGGTTTGCACCTCGTTTTTCTCTGTATTTTTTGGCCACCCCAATCTTTTCTGACTGAGAATCAAACTCCAGCACAGCAAACCATTTTACTTCCTGCAAAAAGTCTAAGTGCTGTGTTTGAGATGGATGGCACTTGTTTGTTACTAATATATACCGGTCATAATAGGAATTATCCAGCAAGTCCTTGCTACCTGTTAGTAGGCTAATCAGCTTTCGACCCTCATTCTCTTTCTTCTTTCGTTTTTCTCTGTGTTCTTCCTCTGCTGCTTTTCGACGATCTGCTGCAAATGTAATCTTGGACTTAAATGACTGGAGTTCTTTTGGATTATTAAGAATGTTTTTAGAGCTGGGTCCATCCCGTATAAATAAAGATGGTTCCCAAGTTTTAGTCTTAAAATTGTAATGATTTATATGGAAAAATTTTGTTTCACATATAGTGTGGCTTGGAACTACATCTACTTCAATGACAAATGTATTTGATGGAGTGTTATTTTGCAATAATACTTCCACAAATCTAGGTTCCCTAATGCAGGCTTTTGCAACACAGACAAAACTTCGGTCAAAGTACTTTTCAATTTTTTCATTAAAATCGTCAATAAATTCATCTTTACTGCTTAGTTTCACTCCTATAATTTCCCCATGTGGCTTGTTGCTTACTCCAAAATGAATTGTACCATTGGTGCGGGAATTCATACATGCAGCAGCAAATCTAAAGGTTTCATTGCTAAATTTAAGCTTAATATCCTCTTCTGTTGCATTCTCTGTGTTTGTGAACAGTTTGAACTCATGTGCTGGCTCAATGAGATTCAGTGGCCCTGTTTCAGGGACATTAAGAATATAGTGCTGTATATAACGACGACTATCATGAAACTCATCAAAAGGATATGGCAAACAGTTTTGTCTGGTTGGATGTTGATTATTTTCCAGTAATTTCTTTGATTTATCTTTTGCTTCACCTAACTTGTTTTCTGTTCTATCTGTGAGCACAGACTCCATAGACTCTGTGCATTCAGATAATCTAAGTTCTTGTGATTCACTGGCATCTGCTGACTTTGATTTTCCTTTATTCTTTTGGTCTTGCTTTGCACTCCCTCCATCTTTCTTCTCCATTAAATATTTTTCATCAAAAGTCTTTTTTCTACCTTCTTGTCTAACTGTCTGAGCTGTGCTTTCAACTAGAAAGTTAAATTTCAGTGCATTCAAAATTTGAAGAGCTGGGCCATACGTTATGCCTATAGCTGTAAGATGTTCTGTAGTAAACAGCTTCAAGTTTGAACCTGTCACATCTTGGCTAAACAAGATTTCACCATATTTCTGGTCAATCTTAAGTTCTTCAGTTACCCATTGTTTTACTTGTTCTTTTGTCCAGTCATCAATATTTGGAGGCAGATTTTGTTGTTCATTCTTCTCAAGGTTTTTAACTTTAGCCCTTGAAAGAAAAAGACAAGATAACCAAAACTGTTATCTATTACAGTATATTAGTTTTTAAAAGCTCTTTAAAATCATATACCATCTAATTCCTTCATTAATGGTGTCTGAAATATAATATAAAGAAACACTTAGTCTACATGGAGAAGATAATAACAATGCCTCGCTCTTGTATAGACTTTAAGGCTCTACATATGTCAAACAGATTAGCTTTAGTATTATTGCAAAAAGAATAAAGATATTTCACTTTGCAGTCCCTGATTTAAATTAAATTAAGGTCAATAATGAACAAAATTTGTGAGTCTCTGATAGCCATTTGGTGGCCTATATCAAATGAGTTGGAAGCTTTGGTCCCTTTGTTGGTCAACAGATGTTCATACCACAAACTCCATTATCACAATTGGATCAAATTGGTACTATGTTTGTAGTCTCAGCAGGGAAACCACTGGTGAGGTGGTTTGGGGAGTCCTGTACTCCACTCCCAGTGCTCAGTTCAGTGGTGTCCAACCTTTTCCGCCTGAAGGCCGAATTCATTATTTAAAAAATAAGAGCCCACAATCAATAGTTTGAGGCAAATATTCTGCTCTGTTCCACTCCTTTTGCACCATGCAGACAGTGCAAAGGGATCACAAAACACTCATAAGTCCCCTGCTGGGGAATCCTCCAATAGGTATAGAGTCAACCTAGCTATCTCCTATTATAGTCTCACCACAGCTGCAGGTGCAGGATGTGTTTCAGAGTGGGGAAGGACTTGTCAGATGGTGAGGAGAAATGGCTGAGATGTGCTGTGCTCTGTAATCCCTTGAGGATTAGAGGCCGCTGGTGCAGGTCAGAGCATCCCTATATCAGAGAATCAAGTAGTTATAACTGATAGTTGGGTCTCAGATTCTCTTCCTTTTCCTGGAGTGCCCTGGTTGGCTGTGTGGGGAGAAGAGCCATCATTTGCTAGACACTCTTCTAGGCACAGTAAGAGCCAGTTTAACTCCTATCCTGCTCTTCCTCAGGCTTCCACAACTCAGCAGCAAAATAGGCAATGGAGCATTCAAACCTACACTCTCCTCCTACACAAGAGAAATTGGAAAATTCTCACTGATGAGAAGTTTCAGAGTAGCAGCCGTGTTAGTCTGTATTCGCAAAAAGAAAAGGAGTACTTGTGGCACCTTAGAGACTAACCAATTTATAAGGTGCCACAAGTACTCCTTTTCTTTTCACTGATGAGAAGAAATTTGTTATAACTGGCATTACTGAAGCCTGGTGGGATGATCTGCATGACTGGAATGCTAAAATCACGGGTTACAACCTGCTTAGGAAGGATAGAGCGACTCAAAGAGGCTGGGGCTGGCACTCTACATTATCGACATCGTTATCTGCTTTGGAGTTATTGATAAATCAGAACATCAGGATCCCAAATGCATATGAATCAATGTACTAACTAACAAAGCCCAAGAAGGGTGCTTCCTAGTCTTTGTTACTGACCACTGCATCACCAGAGAACAGGGTGAGTACCGGTAGTTCCTTAAGTTGCTGTCTGTAATTTGTGGAAAGAAAAAAATTGCGTTATCACAGGTGACTTCAATTTGGGATACATGGTGGAGGTCTCATTAGAGCAGTGGCAAAACAACATTAGAATTTCTAAAAATTACAGATGATAATTTTCTTTTGCAAAACGTGCAGCACCCCACACGAGGTAACTATTTTGGACTTCATTATGACAGATATAGCTGTAATAGGGAGCTGCAATAGGGAGGGGACAGCTCCCAGGAAAACATCTCCTGGGATTGTGGAGGAAGTGGTGGGCTGCATTTGGAAAGGTAGCACCTCCTACCTCCTCAGTGTAGTCACAGGGCTGATTCAAACACTTCAGTTTAGAAACCACAGACTGCAGTTTGAGGGATGGGCATAATTCAACTCACAATCAAACACAAATTTTCTTCTTAACACAGTCATCGCCGGTGGGACAAATTTTAGAGTCTTAAGGGGCACAGGTTGGACACCACTGCTTTAGATATTTTTCAGATAAGCTAAAGTTTTAGTTTTCATTGATGTCTATGCAGCACATTTCACAAGCAAAACACTAACTTAAATAAAATAAAAATGAATAACAAAGCAATGAGACTGGGAATGCCTAAAGAAAGTTGGTCTGATCTCATTTACACTGGTTTTACTGTGTTGTACTCATTTCACTTCTGTAGAGTTGATCCTGATTTACACTTTCTGATAGAGCTTTCCATTGCAAAGCTGCCGATGCTTAAACATTGAAGACAGTAAGTGATGGGGTATAAACCATCCGTGAAAGGGAGCCTGAGGGTGCTAGTAACCTCACTAATTGCATTCGGGAAGGGTGTAGTCAGGTAAAGGGGATGGATATAAAAGAGGAGAGAGAGAAGGACAGTTGGGGAGAGGAGGCCCAGAGGAGAAGCTGTAGTAAGTTCCCTATCTTTGGGGAGGGGCCTGATAGAAGGCCAAAGAGGCTGGAAGGGCAGGAAGCAGACAGTCTGTTCCTGAGGTGAGCCTGAGGGAAGATCAGGAGCTGCTTATATCATGATCAGTGGAACTGGAGTCAGAAGGCCCATGTGGAACCTGTGTGCTTACCACAAAGGAAAATTCCAGTGGCACTATGAATTCCAGTATGCAAGGAACTCGAAAGTCTGCAGAGCAGGGGTATCGTAACACATTTAGAGACCAGTACAGCTTGGGTAAACAGCATGGTTGTGGTAAAGAAGCCATCAGGTAAATTAGGTTGCATAGAACACAAGCCACTGAATCAGGCATTGAAAAGATGCCACTATCCACTGCCCACAATTGATGACATCTTGCCAGAACTCTCCAAAGCCAGAATCTTTAAGGTCTAATGTGAGGAATGGGTTTTGGCACATAAACCTGGATAAAGAGTCCAGCATGTTGATAACCTTTGCAACACCAGTTGGCTGCTACAGAGGGCTATGCATGCCAATTGGCCAAAGCAAAACAGCAGAGGTGTTCCAGAGAAGACTCACCCAAGTGCTCGAAGAACTGCCTGGGGTGAAAATAATTGCGGATGATATCCTCATTGTAGGTGAAAAGAGAAATGATACAGAAGATGAACAAGATCATAACAGAAAACTACAAACATTTTTAAAACAAGGCAGGTACAAGAATGTAAAACTCAGCCCAGAAAAACTGCAACTCAAACAATATTTGGTGACACGTTGGACATCTGCTCACATAGAGAAACTGAAAGCAGATCCCAGCAAGATCAAGGCAGTCAGAGACATGCCAGCTTCAGTGGATGTGAAAGGGGTACGGCACTTCATAGGAATGATAAATTATCTGTCCACATTCTCTTCACACCTGGCAGCAGTAACAGAACCCATATGTCAGCTGGAGACCGTTGCTCATGTGAGGATCTAGCCATTAGAGAGACACCAGAAAGAGGGGACTAAAGGAGGAGTGCAGTGGCAAGATGACTATGCAAGAGGGTCATGCAAGAGGGACAAGAGATCCAAAGGAATGGGAGACACTTATGAGCCAGCAGACACCACACCTAGAGAAGGCATACAGAGCTACAGAGATCATCACAGGACGCAGAGATGGAGAACCATTTGGAGGTCAATCCCACAAGGAGGAAGAAGACTCCACAGAGCAAGAGTTTGCTAGATTTGGAAACAGGTGGTAGGGAGACAAAGAGAGGTCACTCCCAGTGTGGTCATCCATTGAGCAGACCCAACTATTTCAAAGACTATGCAGTCAGCTGAACCTGTGGTAAAGGCAAGACTCCAACTTGGCTATGTTATAGCAACCTCTGGCCAAAGGGATACAGGGTGAGGATCTGGGTGTCAATAATTTGTTTTTAATGTTTCTATTAAAATGTCTGTAAGGTATGGAAGATGTTGCATGATCAGTGGAATTGGAGTCAGAGGGCCCAGGCTTCCTGGAGGGACTGTTTTTGAGGGAAACAGGCAATATGAGGAACTGGTCTGGAAGCAACACAACCATATGGACAGAGCAGTGCACAGGATTTCATACTTAACCTGCATTCAGCATCACTCTTTGCTAATGAAACACTGCTGAGGGATGATGGCCTGCCTGATCCCTTGGGAAAGTGGAGAATTATGCCAGCCATAGACTGTGCGGTGGAGTGAAATGAAGCACAGGAGCCTGTAGACAAATGTGGGGACATTTCACTATAGCTGACCCTTGCCTGCAAGGGAGAGGGTGGCCAGCTGAGATCAACTGGGGCTGAAGATTTAATTGTCTATATATTTTTGTTGGACTTGTGGCTCTGGAAGGGTTAAACTCTTGAATGTGTCTTGGACAGAGGGTCAGGCCACTCTTACAGCTGGAATAGGCTGAAAAACACAAGGGAAACTAAGGCACAGTGGTGGCTATTCCACATTCAGCCACCAGTGGGTGGGTTGGGATGGAAAAACTGTGACATCCTATGACATGCGACCGTAATTCTCAGCCAACAAAGACTACAGATTTTGATGTTGATATTTTTTCCTTTATTCTTTAACTGATGCTACCAAATGCTATTATATCAAACTAGTATCCAAGTTTCACTATCAAATTTTGTAAGTTTCTGTGCATTCTGCTTTGTCTGGAGATGAAACTGCTTTGTCTATGGTATATTGCCATCTGTAAGACAGAGAGAGATGAGCTTATGGATCACACTCTCATGACCATTTTGTCTAGTTATGTCAATTATAGACCGGATGGTTTGTATGTTCAACTGGCTATTGTAGAGTAAACAGGTGAAAAGAGAATTTGTCTTACATTTTTCTTCAACATTTTGTCCATTATTTTTATAAATGGGGCCTGAATTGTAAAGTTTGGATCTGAATCTACTGGAGCTGAGATTTGGATTGGGATCAGCTCCAGTTAATTCCAATATGAAAAGGCATGACAGGGGGAGGTGGCAGCACTTGAGCAGAGAGTAATGCTGGAAAGATAGCCAGAAGAAATTGAAAAAAGCATAGATCACTAGTGGGAGAAGGAGACAAACAATCAGCTAATTCAAACACATTTTAAACTTTCTACAGCTTTCCAGTGTGCCTTGCTCTGGCCAAGTAGCTGTGACCAAACTGAATTTCTACATTATCCTCTCTCTTCCACTGAGCTCAGGGGAATCTTGGGCTATTTGTACTAAATTATGACTCCCTGATTGAATCATTTGCAGCTACCGCTGCTGAATCAGGGGCACCAGTCAGCTTAATGTACCTTTTTTTCCCCATAATGGAATTCTTCTGATTGAAGAGTTTTCTTCTTAGTTCTTTTCAGTGAAGAGAATTCCTGCATGCTGAAAAAAGGAACAATAGAGATTATCTAAGCTTCCCTAGCAGCATAATTCCTCAGGCTGCCTATCTCTACTGCTGTATAGTTACAAGTACAGGCAGGATTTTAGGACTTACTGCTTCAAGGGCTGGAGAAGTGCATAGCATGCCATAGAATGAAGCCACTCTTCTTACTCCAGTCCAGGTTTTATGGGCTTGGGAACAGGTGGCAAGTATGCCATGGAGCCATTGCTTCCACATCTCTTATCCTTTGCACAGATCCATCTGACCTGGCTCCACTCTTTTCACATTACGTGAGGTGAAGGGACAAAATCAACCCCTATGTTAGTAAAGTACCTTGTAAACCTATGATGCTATATATTATTATTATTATTGATTATTAACAATACTAAAAGTATAGCACTTATTTTATAAATAGCATTCTCTAAAAACAAGTTTGCTTGTTTTCTTTTCACTCCTCAGGATTCAAGTTGCTTTATTATGGAGTTTATTTTATCATCACGGACATAAAACTGAAATTCTTGTAAAGGATATTAAAATGGAAAAACACATAGTGGCAGGGAGACAATTTTCAGCCTAGCAAGTTAGAATCAGAGAAATGTGGAAGGGGTGGAAGGGACCTCGAGAGGTCATCTAGTCTAGCCACCTGAACTGAGGCAGGACCAAATATAACTGACAGGTGTTTGTCTAACATGTTCTTAAAAACTTCCAGTGATGGGGATTCCATATCCTCCCTTGGAAGCCTATTCCAGTGCTTAAGTATCCCTGTAGATAGATAGCTTTTCCTAACATCTAATCTAAATCTCCCTTTCTGTGGATTAAGCCAATTACTTCTTGTCCTATCTTTGGTGGACAATGAGAACAATTGATCATTATTCTCGTTATAAAGCCCTTGCCATATTTGAAGACTGTTATCAGGTCTCCCCTCAATCTTCTTTACTCAACATTCCCAGTTATTTTTAATCTTTCCTCATAGGTCAGGTTTTCAAAACCTTTTATCATTTTTCTTGCTCTCTTCTGGAATCTCTTCAATTTGTCCACATCTTTCTTAAAGTGCTACCTAGAACTGGTCACAGTTCTCCAGTTGTGGCCTCACCAGTGCCAAGTAGAGTGGGCCAATTACCTCCTGTGTCTTACATATGACACTCCTGTTAATACACGGCAGAATATTAGCCTTTTCTGTAACTGCATCATATTGTTGACTCGTATTCAATTTGTGATCCACTATAACCCCCAGATCCTTTTCAGCAGTACTATTTCTAGCCAGTTATTCACAATTTTGTTCGTTGTGCATTTGATTTTTCCTTCCTAAGTGAAGCACTTTGCACTTGTCTTTATTTAATTTCATCTTGTTGATTTCAGACCATTTCTGCAATTTGTCAAGGTCCTTTTGAATTCTAATCCTGTCCTCCAAACTGCTTGCAACCCCTCCCAGCTTGTCACCTGCAGATTTTATAAGCATAGTCCCAACTCCATTATCCAGGTCGTTAATGAACATATTGAATAGTACCAGATATAGGAGAGTCCCCAGCTGGACCCAACTAGATATGTCCCTCAGTTTGACAGTAAACCATTGATAACTACTCTTTGGATAGCCTGTTTCCTCTTGTTTTTTCCTACCCCCCCCCCCAGATGTTCTGGTTTAACTTGGATTTAAACTTGGAGAGTGGTCAGTTTAGATGAGCTATTACCAGCAGGAGAGTGAGTTTGTGTGTGTATGGGGGTGGGGGGGATGTGAGAAAACCTGGATCTATGCAGGAAATAGCCCGACTTGATTATGTAAAGAGTTGTCACTTTGGATGGGCTAGCACCAGCAGGAGAGTGAATTTGTGTGGGGGGGTGGAGGGTGAGAAAACCTGGATTTGTGCTGGAAATGGCCCACCTGTTGATCACTTTAGATAAGCTATTACCAGCAGGACAGTGGGGTGGGAGGAGGTATTGTTTCATATTCTCTGTGTGTATATAAAGTCTGCTGCAGTTTCCACGGTATGCATCCGATGAAGTGAGCTGTAGCTCACGAAAGCTCATGCTCAAATAAATTGGTTAGTCTCTAAGGTGCCACAAGTACTCCTTTTCTTTTTGTGAATACAGACTAACACGGCTGTTCCTCTGAAACCTGTCTTTGGATACTGTCTTTCAACCAGTTTTGTGCCCACCTTATAGTAATTTCATTTAAACCACATTTCCCTAGTTTGCTTATGAAAATGTCACATGGGACTGTGTCAAAAGCCTTACTAAAATCAAGATATCCCACAATTACAGCTTCCCCCCCATCCAATAGGCTAGTAACTCTGTCAAAGAAGGATATTAGTTGGTTTGGCATGATTTGTTCTTGACAAATCCCTTTTGGCTGTTACTTATAACTCTGTCATCTTCTAAGTACTTACAAGTTGCTTGTTTAATAATTTGTTCCAGTATCTTTCCAGCTATCAAAGTTAGTCTGAATGGGCTACTGTTCCTCAGGTCCTCTTTGTTCTCCTTTTCAAAGATAGGTTCTGTGTTTGTCCTTCTCCAGTCCTCTGGGACCTCACTTGTCCTTCATGAGTTATTGCTAACGGTTCCAAGACTGCTTCAGCTAGTTCTTTAAGTTCCGTAGGATGAATTTCATCAGGCCCTGCTAACTTGAATGCATATAGCTTATCTAAATATTTGTAAACCTGTTCTTTTCCTATTTTGGCTTGCATCCCTTTTACCCTGCTGTTAATATCAATTGTATTTAGTATCTGGTAACAGTTAACCTTTTGAGTGAAGACTGAAGCAAAGTAGGCATTAAACTCCTCAGCCTTCTTGATGTCATCAGTTATTAGCTTTTCTTCCCCTCTAAGCAGTGCACCTACATTGTTCTTTGTTTTTCTTTTGCTCCTAATGATTTATAGAACTTCTTCTTATTGTCTTTTATGCCCCTTGCTAGGTGTAACTCATTCTGTGTCTTAGCCTTTCTGATTTTGTCCCAACATGCTTGTGCTATTCTTTTCTATTCCTCAGTAATTTGTCCATGTTTCCACTTTTTGCAGGCTTCTTTTTTGATTTTCAGGTAATTATAAAGCTCCTCTTGGATCCCTAGTGGCCTCTTACTATTTTTCCTATCTTTCCTTTTCATTGGGATACTTTGTTGTTGTGCCTTTAATATTGCCTCCTTGAAAACTCCTGAACTCCTTTTCCCCTTAGATTTTCTTCCCCTGGACCTTACCTACCTGTACTGTGAGTTTGTTAAAAGTCTGCTGTGTCCTTATGCTGCTCTTCTATCTCCTTCCTTTCCTTAGAATCATGAATCTATCATTTCATGATCAGTTTAGCTCAAATTGCCTTCAAACATCAGATTTGTAACCAGTTCCTCCCTGTTAGAATCAAGTCTGAAATGGCTGTCACGCTGATTATTTCCTTCACCTTCTGAAATAAAATGTTGCTCCCAATACATTTCAAGAAAGTAATTTGAATGTTATCACTTCACTAACCAAAATTCACCTTTGCAATACAGCTTATGCACATTTAAATATAATTATTTAAAAACAAATACTGTATGTTTCATTATTTGGAAAATATGTAGTGAAAGAGATGTCTGAAGCTGGATGGTTTAAGTTTCATTTTCTAGGCTTGCTGTAATGCTGCTCAGTTTCATTTTACGAACCAGCATTTCAGGAAATGAAGCTAAAAAATAATGCTGGAGTGTGAGTAATTTCTTGTTGTAAGTAAAAATCTTCTGTTTTTGCAATAGCAAGTTTGCCACCTCATTATTGTAGCATAGTATCTTTCAGTTAGGAACTTTCACTAAATTATTTCATTATAATCACTTCTGCAGCTACTACTAATAGCTCTCTCAGCAGGAAAAAAGGTTTCTGAGAATATCACCTTTTATCCCATTATAGCTTCAGTCTAATATTTTGACAAAATAGTTTCACCAAAAAGGAGCAAATTCAAAATAAGCCATTAGCTGGTTTAGCATTGCATAAAGTATATTTTAAGTTATATGCATCTTTTGCCCGTTAGAGCTAAAAACTGATAGTGCACTTACCAAGACTGTCATTCAACTTCCTTCGTATAGTAGCTGGAGAAACGTGTTTATTCAGGTAGGAAAACTTGTGAAATAGTTAAATAGTTGTTTCTTCTAATCAACTACAAGATGAAATTATTTCAAATACAATATCTTCTTGTTCCAGTAAGGGTCTGGCACACAGAACAGCTGGCAAGAAACTAAAACTTTATTTCCTGTTATCCACTTGCATGACCGAATCACATGACAGCAGCTAGCATTCACCCCTCTAGCAGCTACTGGTGCATCTTCCCTTAAAAAACAAAACAAAACAAACAAGTAAATAAATACTGTCTCTGAACCTCAGTGACTTTCTGATCACAAAGCCAGATTTTGTCTCAAAATATTTCTTTCTGAGAGGGGATGAAACAGTCAGAAGGACCTGTCTGCAGAGTAGAGCCCTGGAGCTGCTGGAATGACACACCCCACAGTGCCCACTGTCATGGGGGCAGTTGGAGCCACATGCTTGCACTCCCCATGTAGTGCCATAAGATGGCGGTCTGCTGAAGACAGATTCACGACAATTCGTGGAGAATATGGGCAATCACCCCTGGTATAAGACAAAGTGATGATGCTTAAAAAACCCAAACATTTAAAAACACATGTGACGTTCCCCTCTGGTGTAATCCGGACTGGCGATCTGCTAGGTCACTCCAATCCTTGACTCTGGGACCTAGCCTTACCCCGCCGTGAGAACCCCAAAGGATCCTGACACTACCACCACTCTTTTATGTCCAATTAAGCAAGTTATAATTTTTTTTTAATTTTAAACCCCCTCCCAAGGTTTTTCTGCAAACCTTAAATTTTAAGGTAATTCGAACAACTGAGGCAAAATCTTTCGTCACACAGCTGCAACCACTGATTAAAGACCTAGTGGACCAACAACAGGTCCAGCAGCAATGTTTGGTGCAACAAATGCTGTCTTTTCTCCAGTGTCCGGAAGGCAATGGGAAGTCCGACAGCTCAGACGTTGAACCCCATCCCACTGGCCGATCCCAATGAAGCTTATGAAAATGGCCTTGGTGATGACCTTCAGGCATTCCTTACTATCACTGAGCAGGTGCTGGTAGCAGTGCAGTGGCCTCCGACCGTGGGCCATCTTGTTAGCCCCCATCTGACTGGACCAGCGCAGTCCACCTACCTGGGGCTTGACCCAATGACTGCTCAGGATTACCCCAGAGTCAAGGCTGCCATCCTTGATTATTTGGATATCATGGAGGAGATGCATCGCTGTTGCTTTCATGTAGAGAAATATGTGTAGGGGGGCCTGGCCCTGGATGGTAGCCCAGAGATTGAGGGAGCACTGCCAGCGGTGGCTAAAACCCAAGGCTCGGATGCGGGGAGCAGGTCACTGAGCTTATCCTGATCAAACAATTCACTCATATACTCCCTACTGGTGGGATAGGGATAGGTCCTGATGCACTAGCCAGAGATGTGGCCCGAAGTGGTCAGCTTAATGGAAAATTACATGGCTGCTGGGAATCAAGGAGGCAACGGGACAGGGGCAGCATAACCAGTTACAGCTGCTGCAGACAAAGCTCTCCTCACAGAGCAACCCCAAGCTGTTCCCACAGGATAGGAGGGAGATATAGAACCCAGCAGCTTAGAGCTGCTCTGGTCCCTAATGGTGAGTAATGGGGACAGGACCATACATCCAAACATTTGTAGTGGCTAAAGTCGGACACAGCCAATACCAGTGGAGCCATCCCTACTGCAGCTGCTGGCCCAGCACTTTGCCTCCTGAATCCGTGCCATACTCAACCCCTGCCTTCCAGCCTGGCTTGCCCAGGTGAAGTGTCAGTCCCCATTTTAAGCTCCTCTGTAGCCACTGAGCAAGTCTGAGGGGACTGAGAAAACTCAAGGGGAGCTCAAGCTGCTGCCCTCCCTAGCTCTGCCCCACCAATGGTATGCACTGTGTATACGGCTGTAGGCATCACTACTTCAACCAGGATGGGTTTTTTGGGGGGTCTGGGAATGGGGCTGACACTGAGGTTGGCCAGCAGCCTGGTGCTGGGGGTGGAGCTGAGGGTGGCCAGTGGAGCAGTGCTGAGCTGACGCTGGGGACAGCCGGCGCCCTGGTGCTGGGGGCAGTGCTGAGAGTGGCTGGTGGCAGTTCAGCAGGGGTTCCTCTGGCCATGGGGGATGTGTGTGAACTCAGGGCTCTTGCGGGAGGGGGGGGGGCAGTAGGGGCAGGGCCTCAGGTGGAAGGGGTGAGTCTGCATGGCTAGCAGGGCTCAAGTGCTGCCCATGCAGGACAGCTCCTCTGCTCCTCCTTCCTTCCCCTCCCTGTTGCAGCACCCAGCCTGGCAAGGGGCAGAGGGAGGTGAAGGGCCCCTGGAGCTGCCTCCCCAGACTGGAAGGGGGAGAGGGGACCCCACTGCAGCTCCCCCAGGCCTGGGAAAGTGGGATGAAGATCCCTAGGAGGAGCAGAGATGAAGCTGGAGGGACTGAACTGGGGTGCTGTGAGCTCGGAGGCTGAACTGAGGAGGGGTTGAACTGACAGGGGGTAGAACTGAGGGGTTGGAGGCATGAACTGAAGGGAAGCTGAACTGATTAGGGGCTGAACTAAGGGGGACTGGTGTTGGGTGATGGTAGAATTAATTGCTGGACAGGTGATAGGAAGATATGGAGGTGACAGCCCCCTTCAGTGGCACCCCAAATTACCTTATCCAATACACTTGGGAGAGTGGACAACACTAATTATCCCACACAACACATACACTGGGGATGGGCAGAGGGAGTTCAAAATCAAAGGACAGACTCCCCTGCCATGACCCCAACAATATAGTATTTTTTTTAAAAACCTCATGATTTCTTTTGGCCATGATTTATGATCTCTTACGGTGGTCTGACTCATTATTTTCGATCTCTTGAGGTTGGCAATACTGAAGAAGCTACCTTTTTTGAAAATAGCTGGTTCTGAAGCTCTTGGTAAATTTAACAGTCTTCAGTTCACTCAGACAAGGAGGGTGAGGTACTATCTTTTATTGGACAACTTCTGTTGGTGAAAGAGACAAATGTTGGAGCTTGCACAGAGTTCTTCAGTTACTTCAGGCAGAGGAGGCTTATTATGAAACTGTAGTACAGAAATTTGAGGAATACTGTACTTCATGTAAAAATGAAACATATGGTTGAAAAGCCTATCTTGCAATTTTGAGGGCTAACCGAATCTCTCACAAGAGACTGGATTATGATTGGAATCTGGAACAAAAAATTCAGAGGGACAACTGAAAGATCCAGAATTAATTCTTGCCAAAGCAGTTAGAATGTTAACCAGTCCAGAATGAAGTTTATGGTGGTCGACAGTGCTCTGACAATGTAGAATTGATAATGAATGCAAAATACTACAAGAAAAAAACAAATCAAAATAAAACCCTGTTTAGGCTCAGCTGAGATGTGAACTGTGATTGCCAGCTCAATTGGAGACCGTACTTGAAGTAAGTAACGCTATTAGCACAAAGTAATGGGACAATTTATTCCCAGCCCCTATTATCAATTTAAGGGGGAACTCTCACTACTAGATGGGATTTTGATTAAAGACACCAACCTGGTGATTCCTAACGTGTCACAGAAAAATATGTTAAAAAAACTACATGAAGGTCTCTTAGGGATTGAAAAAACTAAGAGAAGGGCCAGAGACATTTCATACTGGCCTCACATGAACAAAGACATTGAGAAAGTTGTTGAGGCTTGTCACATATCCCAAAAATTCAGGCCAAGTCATGCAAAAAAAGCCCAACTGGTGAGACAGGAAAAACTGGCCACCTGGAGCAAACCAGACATAGGGCTTTTCTCCACTACGGGGAGTTCGATGCTGCTGCAAGTGATGCAGCAGGGATTGATTTAGCAGGTCTAGACCTGCTAAATCGATGGCAGAGCACTCTCTGATCGACCCCAGTACTCTAGCTCTCCAAGAAGAGTAAGGGAAGTCGACCGGAGAGTGTCTCCCATTGACTCAGCGCCATGAAGACACTGGGGTAAGTTGGTAGTGATGTTACTGGAAGGTTTGATTTTAATTATATTATATCAGTGATGTTGCCTAAAACACAGCTTTTAATTTAAAACATTTCCTTTATAACTATCTAAAACGATAACCAAGGTTGTGGCCATCCCTAAAGGTACTGCCTGGGAAAGTCACAGCTGGCTTGCTTTTTCCTTGAAAGGACATGGATACAGCCCTCCGATCAAGAATAGACAAGTAAGCAGTAAATCATCGAAAACAAAATAATATTTATTTAGAAATGTGTGGTTACAGTAAAAGAATAAGTGGCGCAGGAACAAAAAGATAGTACAATAATAATAATAAAAGCAATACAGTAAAAGAATGAAACGGCGCAGCAATAAAAGACACAGACTCAGACTCAATACTATATAAAATATACTTAACAGAAGACAATTAAACATATAACATTTAATACGTAACTATTTACACTAACATCCAATAAATGCTGATCAGGCAGTTTTTGAATGGGTAGGGGAAGATCTCATTCAGACCACAGACACCCAGCTTTATTTACAAACAAAACCCAATATGCTCTTGAACAGTGAATAAAAGAAGATTAGATTTACAAAGGCTTTCTCAAAATCCCTCTGAAACCATCTCTTTGGTCCTTTTGTTTTGTCCAGATTTCAGGAGCGCCATCCGCTGGTGCCCATTATTAGTGGCTGCTCCTGAGGTAAAAGCGCTGTTTGGTGGCAGAGACGGAAGCCTGCTTGGCTGCTGCAGGGGCCCCCTTCTGGCTGGGTGGCAGAAGCAGCCATTGCCTGGGGCAACCCTGGAATCCTTCAGCTGCTGCTGCTCAAGCAGCTCCTTTTCAGGCAGCTCTTTCTTTGCAGGGTTCCACTAATGCTGCGGCCGTTGCTTCTTAAGCGTCTTCTTCTTCTCAGGTGTCTTGTAGCTTCTTCTCTCTTCCAGGTCTCACCACAGGGTTTAGCCTACTGGCTGTCACCCTCTGGCTTTGTGCCAAGCCACACCCAGTCACGTGTACCAACGTGTGACTAGTAGCTCCTCCTCCTCATTGGAAGTCCTATGTATTCCTATAGGCTACAATGTATTCCTATGGGGAGGCGGGGGAGGAGGGGTTCAGCTGACCTGTGGATGACCCCCTAGCTACTTCCTGTTTGGAAGCCCCCTGTATTCCTATGGGCTACAATGTATCCCTATGGGATTTTGCTGAGTCATTCCCTACAGGAAGTGGAATTTACCATTGCATCACAGGAAGTGAAATTACTACATCATAGATAATGG